CCCTGGACATGTTTTGCCTGACTCATTGGGTTGTTGGGTGGCCAGGCACGGGGCATTGTAGTGGTATGATTCCATAATTTGGGGTGTTGGCCAGCCACCAATCTTGCAGACCATTCCATAGTGGTTAGACCTCCCAAGGCAGTCCGTTTTCTACCATTTCAGACCATCCTCATGTCAATGGCACACCCTGGACATGTTTTGCCTGAATCATTAGGGTTTTGGGTGGCCAGGGCACGGGGCATTGTAGTGGGTATGATTCCATAATTGTGGGGGGTGTTGGCCACACCCATCCTGCAGACCACCCATCCGTAGTGTAGGCCTCCAGGCAGTTCGTTTGCACCATGCTTCAGACCATCCTCATGCCAATGACACCACCAAGGACATGTTTTGCAAGAAACTCATTGGGTTGTTGGGTGATCAGGGCACGCTGGGCATTGTAGTGGTATGATTCCATACTTGGGGGTGTTGGGTTTCCCCATCCTGCAGATTCTGGTGTAGGCCTCCAGGCAGTCCGTTTTGCACCATTTCAACCATCCTCATGTCAATACGGCACACCCTAGACATGTTTTGCCTGACTCATTGGGTTGTTGGGTGGCCAGGGCATGGGGCATTGTAGTGGTAAGATTCGCATTCTGGGGTGTTGGCCACACTCCAGCCTGCAGACCATTCCATGGTGTAGGCCTTCCAGGCAGTCCGTTTTTGCACCATGTCAGACCATCCTCATGTCTTCAGGCACACCCTGATGTTGTGCATGACTCATTGGGTTGTTGGGTGGCCAGGGCACGGGGTGTATATGATTCCATAATTTGGGGTGTTGGTCACATCCTGCAACATTCCATGGTGAGCCTCCAGGCAGTCCGTTTTGCACCATGTCAGACCATTCATGTCCATGGCACACCCCACATGTTTTGCATGACTCATTGTTGTTGGGATCAGGCATTGTAATGGTATGATTCCATAATTTGGGGTGTTGGCCACACCCATCTTGCAGACCATTCCGTGGTGTAGGCCTCCCGGCAGTCCGTTTTGCACCATGTCAGACCATCCTCATGTCAATGGCACACCCTGGACATGTTTTGCCTGACTCATTGGGTTGTTGGGTGGCCAGGGCACGGGGCATTGTAATGGTATGATTCCATAATTTGGGGTGTTGGCCATTGCCACACCCATCTTGCAGACCATTCCGTGGTGTAGGCCTCCCGGCAGTCCGTTTGGCACCATGGCATTCAATCCTCATGCCAATGGCTCACCCTGGACATGTTTTGCCTGACTCATTGGGTTGTTGGGTGACCAGGGCACAGGGCATTGTAGTGGTATGATTCCATAATTGGGGGTGTTGGCCACACCCACCCTGCAGACCATTCCATGGTGTAGGCCTCCCAGCATTTCGTTTTGCACCATGTCAGGCCATCCTCATGCCAATGGCTCACCCTGGACATGTTTTGTCTGACTCATTGGGTCGTTGGGTGGCCAGGGCATGGGGCATTGTAGTGGTATGATTCCATAATTTAGGGTGTTGGGCACCCCATCCTGCAGACCATTCCATGGTGTAGGCCTCCCGGCAGTCCGTTTTGCACCATGTCAGGCCATCCTCATGTCAATGGCACACCCTGGACATGTTTTGCATAAGTGGAAGCAGTGTATGCTACGGCATGGTTTAGCAATGGAAGCGTAAAGTGAAAGCGCACATAGCAGGAACAATGGCTAGGCCCATCATGTTATGGTTCATAAAACAATGAAATGGAGACTATACCATGCCATGGCACCCAACCAGTACCCTAGCATGACAGCATAGGCCTGTTTGACTTATTAACAATGCTTTAAAGCCTCCTTCAGCAAGTGGCGGAAGCCTGGTTGGTGTTTGGCAGTCAACTGGTGTGTTTGTTTTCAAACTGTCTCTGGAGCATTGGCCAGAGCCTGGCCAAAGACTGATGCATGAAACCAATTCCATGGATTGGAACAATCACTTACATATATGTTTTGGGTTTCTGCGCAAGAATGGAGCATTCCAAGTGCTTGTGGGCGCCAGAGCAAGTGGCATATAGCAGGAACAATGGCTAGGCCCATCATCTTATGGTTCATAAAACAAAGACATGGAGACTATACCATGCCATGGCGCCCTTCCACTACAATGGCTGGACAGCATTGGCCTTATTGACTGATCAATGATGCACGGAAGCCTTTTTCAGCAAGTGGTAGGAGCCTGGTTGGTGTTGGGCAGTCAGCTGGTGTCGTCGCTTCCACACAGTCTCTGGAGTCTACCATCCTATGAGCACCTGCATGACCAAACACTTTTCCCATATGTTCATCTGGTGTGGTGAATCCCTTCCGTTTGTTTCTCCTTCCAATCTTTGCAGCTAAAGTGCTGCACCCTTGCCCTACATTATCCAGAAAAAGTAAATTAAGAGCCTTTTTGGGCTTTTAATTTGCTTTGCAATGGCTCCTATACTCTATATGGTGTCTAGGCACTACCACTAATGCTATTGCAGATACAAGTACACTTTGTATATACGTACATGCAACATACTGGTGTGTTCAAAACGAGGGCGTCGCAGTGGTAACTGGAACAACAATGACAACCGGCAAGTGCGCCTCCGAGCTGGCCCGCCCTTCGGCGCCGCGACGACGAACATGAGAATCCTTTCCGTGATTTGGCGGAGCTCACAACGCAGCATCGGATCTTTCGAGTCTTCAGCAGCGAAGCAAGCACGAAGCGTACTTGTTCATTACCACTATCAATACGTCCACAGCCGTTGTAAAACCATTGCAAGTCAAACATGTCGGAACTGGAGCTTATCGAACGCTCCCGAGCGCTTCAACTCGAGCGGGAAGCTGTCGCCGAAGAAACGTTTTTCAAAATGATTGATGCGGCCGTGGAGATGGAAGCCTTGGAGATGGCTCCGACTCGACGCACCATTTCTGGGGTTCAATTGGAACGTCACGATGACTTGCCCGATGACTTGCCCGATGACTTGCCCGATGACTTGCCCGATGACTTGCCCGATGATTTGCCCGATGATTTGCCCGATGACTTGCCCGATGACTTGCCCGATGACTTGAGTGTAATGCAGAAGGACATTGAAGAGTTGAAGGCTCGCCAGGGTACTCAGGCCAAGGAACATGAGTCACTGAAAGAAATCGTAACAAAGTTGGAACAAAAAAAGGAAGAGGAAGAGGATCGCAAGGCGAAGGAAGAGGCTGCCAAGAAGCGCAAGTTCATGAATCGTTTGCTTTCTCGCTTGGGCTGGAAATGAAGGCGAAAGCAACAGCGACAGATGATTGGCAGGATGCAGCGTTTGCATTAGGATTGGAGTGTTTATACATGTTTTGAAATATACGGTCGGATCACAGTAACGAATTATAATGAAGACTTTTTCAATGACTTTATTGTAGCATAGCGTTTACTTGCTACTTGCGTTGACGTTGAACAAAACTTCGTTTTCGTCGCTGGCAAAAGGAGCAGGAGTCCACGATTCGTCGAGCGTGCATCCTGATGCAATAGCAAACTATTTCGCCCAAGTTCCATCAATGCTTTTCCAATATTAACGCTCCGCTCATTCGTTCGTTCGCGCAGTCGGGACGTCAAATGTTGGACGTTTCGTTTTGCGTGCATGCATGCAACGCAACACGCAATCGTAGGCTTGGACGAACCTTTTTAAACGAGCTCCAATCGACAGTTGACGCGCATGTCAATCGGTGACGACGACGACGGCTGCTGCTGCTGCTGCTGCAGCTGTGCTGCGCTGCATCAATGGTGAGCGAATGCGTCAAAAGCAGCAGACGCCTCGCCGAGCGGCGACATTCAATCGAATCAAGTATTGACATGAGCGTCGCTTTCAAGCCTTTTGTAAAGTTGCAAGAGTCCATATTGTCGGTCTTGGTGGCTCCCTTGGACACTGCAGTGATTGATACAGCGCCTTCGTTCGATCCATCTGCTGATTCAAGCCACAAGGATGCTAACAGCGCAGCATTGTGCGCGGAAGCGAGTGAGACTGCTTCCAACGTTTGCATCGTCTAGTAGTATACACGAAAGCGTGCCGAGCAACTGGTAACAACTGGTAAGTCGAATTCGCCCCATCATTCCGTCGAATGTTTGCAAGTCGTTCGAAAAGCCGCGCGTTCATTTGTGCACCAATCGTCCGACGCCGACGCTGCTCCAGTAAGTGATGACGCTACTCTGCACGTGGCGCAAGGCTTTGCATCGGCTTCCAATGCGCTGCTGTTGAGCGTTTGCTTGAACGAATTCAATTGATTGCGTTGTTCAGTGCAGTATGTCGTCGCGTGTATCGACTTCAATTTGCATACGTAGCTGCTTCACGCACATGCCGCAGACATTCCATAGACTGGCTAGACTTTTGCTTCATCCGATCAAGTCAAGATGCAGTAGTCGCCGACTCGCAATCAGATTGGGTGAAAGCGTCGACTCGTCGGCAGTCGGCATCGGCGCTGCATCATCGTCGTTGCTGCATGAATGTATGTTTTTGAATGGATGGCCGCGCTTTGAAAATCATTGAAAGTTCTAAACTGATCTTATTACTGCCTCCTCGCGACTGCATGAATCAGTTATGGCGCTGGAGATGACTGGCTAAAATGTTTGGTCGACTACCATCTGGGAGGTCGACCAGCGTTCGTCGTCCAAGATTTCGAGGCCGATCGTAACGCATATCACGTTTAGGAGTACCGTGTGAGTACCGATGACTGCAGATGACTTTTGATAGTTTGCGTAACGAATGAAAACGCGCTTGGAAGCATGATCATGATGTTGATTACGTTATTCCCAGTCCGACACCAGAATGTCGCACCTCATTGAATGGCAAATCGCGAGGCCATCACCTTCATCAGTCAATTGCACTAAACCATTGAACCTGCATGGCAGAGAATCTCACAATATGGTCTGCGGATTGGTGACTTGGTTGCAGTAACCGTATCAAAAGACGGTCAAATCGGAGGTATGCTGTCAATGCCAGCTACAGTTAGCCTAGGCAAACTATCTCCGGACCGCATCATTAGTTTAGTGGTAAAATTCCTGCCTTCCAAGCAGGTGTCCAGGGTTCGATTCCCTGATGATGCAACGCATAATTTTTATATTGCTTCATTGGCGAATATCTTTCCATACTGTAATACAAATTGTTGTTGTGAAGTCCGGGAGTCCATTGTCCATGGTATTTGCAAGCCGCGCCATGGCAAATTCGATCGAATCAGAGAATGTCGGAACGGTAATCGAATGGCGTCGCATCGCGGATCTCGCTCTTCGCGCATCGACGCCATGGAGGACGACGAGGGACGAGACCTCTTCTGCAACAGTCACAACCGTTTCATCAGCGCTACTTTAACTTTATATAAAAATGCGACTATTACTTGCAGTCGTTTCTGCGACTGCGCTTTTCACTCTTGCAGTGACTGGATTGGAGGAGGAGCAGCACCAAGAATCACTTGGCAGTCGCCGCAGCAATAATGATCCAGCCACTTTCGTTCTTCCTGCTTCAATTCATCATCGAAGGCTTTCAACAAGCCTGGAGCCGATAGATGACACTGAAACCAATTCAAATAGTTCCGCTGCTGCTGATGACGACGACACTGCGGCCTTTGACGCTGCCGTTCAAGCCGAGATTCGACGGACCGATGCCGTTTTGTTTCCATGCTTTTCCATTGTGATTGGCGTCCTGGTTTACTACACGCTTTCACGGATTCCATTTCTGCATCAGTGGCTTCCATACACGGCCGCCATGTTTGTCATTGGAGCAATGCTTGGTGTCGGTGAGTCAAAGGAAGGAAGGAAGGAAATGACGACAAGGCAGTGCGAGACGTGACGCATTCAGCAACTCCTTCATTCTTCGTCACACTCACACGTTTTTCTCGCCACGCAGGATGCACGCTGACCGGCAATTCCACCAAGCGATTGAACGACGCTGTACAAGTATGGACCAATATCGATGCCGAAGTCTTGATGCTCATATTTTTACCTGGCCTCATTTACAAGGAGATTGCCATTGGTCTCAACGTTTACCTTTTTCGCGCGTCCATTTGGCAATCCTTCGTGTTTGCCTTTCCCATGGTTTTGGCTGGAGCCTCGCTGACGGCAGTCTTTGTCTATTACGTCTTTCCATACCAGTGGTCATTCAATCTTTGCATGATCTTTGGAAGCATTCTTTCGGCGACCGACACAGTCTCAGTGGCGGCGCTCATGAATGAGCTTGGAGCATCGCCTCGACTAAAGGTTCATGTCAGTGGAGAGTCACTGCTCAACGACGGTTCCGTCATTGTCTTTTACTCGATTTTTACGCTAAGGTACTTGTACGAACTTGGGATTGAAGGAGTTGGCGAAGGTACGTTCCTTGGCGGTGTGCGTTTGGAGGCGTTTGCAATACGAATGGCAAGCTGCGTCGGCGACGACCAGCCTCGTTGCACATGTCTCACTCATCATTGCTCGCATTATATCAGAGGTTGACTTTGCGCTTGGTGTGGCGCTCTTCTTTCGCAAGTCACTCGGAGGAGTTGCTGTCGGCTTGGCGTTTGGAATTGGTACCATTTTCCTTATTAGCATTCTTAACCACCGATTTAACCAGGAGGAAAATGTCATGGAAGTGGCTGCCATGTTGGGAATGATTTACGCTGGATACTTTGTTGCGGACTACGTATGCGAGCTCAGTGGCGTGTTGGCGACGGTCATTCAAGGAATTACGATCAAATTCTTGGGTCGCGCCATGATGAACGACAAGCGGTTGTTGGACGACTTTTGGACGCTAATTGAAAACTTGTTAAATACGGTGCTGTTTACGCTAGGAGGTGTCGTATGGGGGAATATTTTGGTCGAGCAATCAACAACGTTTGACGCACTTGAGTGGGGGTATCTCATTTTACTTTACGTGGTCCTGACCGTCATTCGAGCTCTCATCTTCTTTGGAGCTTATCCAATCACCAAAAACATTGGCCTTGGAACGTGCTGGCGCGAAACAGTGTTTCAAATACATGCTGGACTGCGCGGTGCCGTTGGTATAACGCTAGCCTTGGCGCTCAACGCCCAAATCAGTCATCTTGGGGCGACGGGCAACTTGGATCCAATCTACATTGATCAGACGCGCAAGGCATTTGGTTTCGTTGGTGGTATTGCCTTCATGACTCTCATTATCAATGCCCCAACGTGCAAGCCACTGCTCATCTACCTCAACTTGTCAGAATCGAGCGAAACGCGTGACAAGATTCTGAACTCGTTTCGGACGCACTTTCGAAAGCAAGCCATTGCTGAAATGGTGGAACTGCTTGCTCAACCAAGATTCAAGCACGTCAACTTTTCCTTCATTGAGCATCACATTTCCTTCTTGGCTGATCTCACAAAACCAGAGCTCATGGAAGCTGTGGAACGACGCAAGGTCACTACTTTGCCAAGCGAGTATACGCCGCCGCATCTTGGAAAGATTCTTCAGCATTTTAATGACGATGACGGTGAAGCGGCGGAGGCGCCATTGCTGTTTAATAACTCCATGGTGTCGACGACTGGCGGCAAGTTTGAGCCAATTATAGAGGGTGTCATGAGTGCTTCCTTGACTCGTGAGCCGTCGGATATCTCATCGCAAGAAATGACGCCAGAGGACAAGGAGGCATGCCCTAATTTGTTCGAGTGCCGATCCTTGTTTCTGGACATTTTAAAATCTGCGTATGACATGCAAGTTTCCGAGGGTGAGCTGGTGCAACGATTATTCCTGACTGTTGCCTTGGAGCGTTCCCTTGACCTTGCGCGAGACCAAGTGGCAAATGGTCAACCGCTGTCGGACTGGAACTTTGTCAATAGCATCGACTCATCGCTTGTCAAGGTTGATCGGACGTTGAAGCACAGTCGGTGCATTCTTTCGTGCTTGGAACGCATTCGCCCTGGCCTGCGCGAGCAGTGGAAGCAAGCGAGTTTTCGTTTGAACATTGAGCGAGCCATGGCATTCATGGCCGCTCATCGGTACGCGCAAGACTTTTTGAAGCGAGACGCGGAGAATGTGGATCCATGCTTGTCCAAAGCGGCAAAGATTGTCTTGCAGGAGAGCGAGGAAGAATGGCTCAAGGCTGAAATGGCTTTAAACCAACGGAATCCAGCCTTTGTTGAACGTTCCGTTTCGCACAAGTTTTGTTCCATTCTGTTGCACTCGTCCATTATTTACATTGGAACGCTTGTTGGGCAAGGGTTGCTGCGCGAGCAAGAAGCCGAGCACTGGGTCAGGGAGGTAGAAAAGGAATTGGACGGCGTGAACAAGTGCCATCGTGGGCATGGCGTTCGAGCGCGCCAATGCAGCAACATGTCAGATATGAAGAGGACGGAACGGATGCGCCAAGTGAGCAGTATGTCCGATTTGCTTAAATCTTGAGTACTCTACGAGATCTTGAATGCAGGTGAATCATTTGCATTCACCAGCGGAGCGGATCGGATTGACGTGCGAGCAAGCTTTCCACATGAGCACTACCTCGTCACCTCGGTAACCATCTACCATTAGAGTTTATTAGTCAGCATTAAACCTATATCTTAGCGTTGTCCGTTAATATTAGCTATTCTTCTTGCACAGAAGGAGTTGGTGAGCATTCTGACGAGGCCAAGTACGTGTGACGCGACGAACGTGAACAGAATTACTCTTCTGCGTGCGTCATCCTCTTTCCAATTAATTCATGACTAATTTGCGACCGCCAGAGAGTGTTTTCGTCACATTCCACCACCCAACTTTTTCTTTCGCCCATGCAGATTCGTTCCATCGTTCGACCCATCACATTCGACTACAGTACAATAGGACTGGCGAAGATAAGCAAGTCAATAGGTGCAATAACATGATCCCACGAAGAATCGCTTGCTTGCTTTCGCTGCTGCCAGCGGCGTTGGCGTTTGTGTCGCCGCTGCAGCAGCCGGCCCTCCTGTCGAAGCGCTCGTCGTCTCTGCAATCGGCCGTCTTGGACGAGCCAACGACCAAAGCATCAGATGCGACAGCTACAACCAACATTCGGTAAGCAAACTGTTATTGTATGAGTGAAGGAATAGTTGCGAGAGAGAGATTTTCAGTGGGAGACGACGACTGCGAGCTTTGATTCCCATCTTCTTGACTCTCGCGCGCACCTTTCTGTCTTGTCTCGGCAACTGAATGAAGAATAATTGAAAGCAATAAAAAGGACTACATTGAGAGATAGGACGCGGTTTTTGAAAGTTCGGTGTTACTCGGGGTCTCTTTCGCGTTCCGCTCTTATCCACTTTTCCTCATTCGCTCACTCACTCACTCACTCTCTCCATCCATCCATCCATCCATCCATCTTTCCACAGCAACTTGGCTGTGATTGCTCATGTCGATCATGGCAAAACGACTCTAGTCGATGCTTTGATCAAACAATCTGGAGTCTTTCGTGATGAAGCGCAGTCCGACGAGGCTGGAACCTGCATCATGGACAGTGAAGATCAGGAACGCGAGCGAGGCATCACCATTCTCGCCAAGAACCTTGCCGTGGTCTACGATGGAACCAAATTCAACATTTTGGACACTCCTGGTCACGCAGACTTTGGCGGGGAGGTCGAACGTGTGCTTAACATGGCCGATGGTGTTCTACTCGTTGTTGATAGCGTCGAGGGACCCAAGCCGCAGACGCGATTCGTCTTGGACAAGGCGCTCAAGAAGGGCTTGACGGCGCTGGTCGTTGTCAACAAGATTGACCGACCAGCCGCACGACCTGATTACGTTGTCGATAAGGTATTTGATTTGTTTGTGGAACTCGGAGCGACAGATGAACAAACGGATTTCAAAGTTGTTTACGCATCGGGTCTCTTGGGCAAGGCCGGTTACACGCCAGACTCGTTGGAAGATTCCATGAAGCCACTCTTTGAAACGGCCCTCAAGACAATCCCCAGTCCAAAAGTCGATCGAACGGAACCGGAGGCGTTGCAGGCACTCGTCAGTAACATTGATTTCGATAACTTCAAGGGCAAGCTTGGTATTGCGAGAATCAGCAACGGATCCATTCGCAAGGGACAAGCCGTATCCCTCGTGCATCCAGATAAGCCAAAAAAGACTGGTCGGCTTGGTAATTTGTTCGTCTTTGACAATCTTGGCAAGC